CCCCCCCCCTCCCATTCACTCCTGACTGTGCAGTCTGCTGGTGGCTGGTGGTAATCCAGTACAATGTGGCATGCTGAGCTCCAAACCCAACCACCCCCGCCATCATTCCGGACCATGTGTTCACCACAAACGGCAACTCCGAAAGATCTCACAGCAGCCGCCGCTTGGCGTCGTAGGCGAAAGCGATGCGGCTGGCAGTTAGCAGGATTACTGAGTTACCGGGTTACCTGGCTCATCACAGCGTCCTCCCCTCTCAGGTTACCTGAGGTCACACCCATCACATCTCACAGTCTCGCTCACCACCGGCACCGATAGTAGTTTTGCTGCAGTATATAACATACCATGTCTGTCTGAAGAAACAGAATCAAAATAAAAGAGAAATGCGGCACAAAACCTGATAATAAATGAGCATGTCAACATTCACATAATCAGATTCTGCTATTGATCTGTACAGGAATAGGTCTGTAATTGTAGTTGTAATTTCCCCGCTAATTACATTGCAGGGGAAGGTCCACGTCGAGCTGCGTCTGAGTGAGGTCATCACCGACAGTGGCGTTGTCTGTGTCAAGCTGGCCACACGGTGAGTGTCCTCTCTCCGGAAAGTTCCCAGCGTGCAAGTGCCCCCCCCCCCATTCTGGTGGCTTACTTTAACCCATCTAAGCCGGTCGCACCAGGACCCGGTCGTGGGAGCCACCCCCCGCAGGCGACGACCCAGATCGCCGTGAGATGTTCTAGCATGGAAGATGAGAGTTCAACTGCAGGCCCCAGCGGAGGGATAATCTGTGTTTTCCTGTGCTCACATTACAGCCCAGCCAGTCAATCTCTGTTTACCTTTTACTTTTAATTCTCTTTTTTCACTCTCTGACCTCACATCTCCGTACAAAATTTCACAGCTACATGCCTGGTCTGGTTTTCATCCCATTTCCTGGTCTTCCAGCTGTAACTCATAACGGATTGAAACCAACCGAAGGCCTGCTCTGACTGCATGACTTTCTCCGTGTTGCTATTCATATCCAAAGCTATTATGTTTTTTTTTGTTTATGAAAAGCCTGAAACCGGAAACACGGCGGTGACAGGTATCTGTGAACGCAGCTGATCGCTGGGTGTGCCGTCACTGGGACAGAGCGATCGCAGAATGATGACAGGGTGGGAATTTTTGGTGGAATTAGTTGCATGACACCTATATAAAAAGCTGCTTTTCAAGTTTTATTGTAATGAATGTTCGGAGGAGCACAGTGAACATACTTATGCCACAGCAGGGGGAGGGACAGGTACATGAGTACAACAGTGTGATAAAGCAGTGTTTTCCAACTCATTCCTCGGAGACCCCCAGACAGTACACATTTTTGCTCCCTGTCAGGCAGCACACATTTTTGCTCCCTGTCAGACAGCACACATTTTTGCTCCCTGTCAGGCAGCACACATTTTTGCGCCCTGTCAGACAGCACACATTTTTGCTCCTTTCCGAGAACCGGTTTGAGAAACACTCTGACAAAGGATTAGACAGCACTTTTCCCAAGACTTATGAAGTAAAGCACAACTGTGAGGGTTTTTTTTTTAATCAAGGCCTGAAATACCCAGAAAGCAAAGGAAGACCAATCAACAACAGAACTGGTTTTCACTTCTCTATAGGTTCTGTATATGATGTTTCACCCCTGCTCCTCTAGCTCCATCCAGCAGACTTGAGAAGCGCGAACCTCTTTGTCCATGAAGGGTGAGTGCGGGTCTGATCCTTCCCGGTGGGAAACTGGGATGTGAATGGCGAGAGTTTCCTGTCTTGCGAGGGCCAGTTCCAGGCTCTGTTGTCAGCCTTCAGCTCCTTGGCTGGATTTGTCTGTCCAGCGGTCTGCAAACGGGCCAGGCAGGGACACGTAGGGAAAACCGGCTTAAGGAGGAGGAAGTGCTGAAAGGATCAAAGCCGATTAACACCCAGCTTGGATGTTTTTTAATCCTGGTGGCTTGTAGCCCACGCTGCACCGGGGCTGTTACCAGCGATTATACCTCATAACACGCGAGCGTGCCGTGGTAACGGCCTTCGCGGTCACACTCACAAAGGTCCGCGGTCGCGGTTAAGGAGCTTGTTGGAGTTGGAGGGGACGGTTCTCGGTCCTGAAGCGATTTGGTGCAGCATTATCTCCAGGATTTCTCCTTCCAGGGAAAAAACAATATACATCAGGTCATGAAAATGATAAAAACCTTGGACTTCAGGGATGTAGCTCATGTTTCTTGCTGGGATTTCAGTAGGTGAAGCAGGGTGGGGGGGGGTGTGCACCCCTCTTAGCTTCGAATCAGAAGGTCATCAGTTCAAATCCCATCCCTGGCAGAATAGTCTCACCTCTGTTGTGCTTTTGAGTGAGACCCTTAAATACCCACCTCCCCAAAAAAAATAACTCACCTGTATATATACACGTGTTTGTTTCAAAGGAGAGCATGATGGGATATGAAAAAACGAAAACATTCCTATGTGCTTGTGCAAATGCCGAATAAAGGATCATTTCATGAAATGATGGTGGGGTGGAAATGCATGGGATTGAACCAGCTCTGGCATTTCACTGTGTGATGGGGTCTCTCTCTTTTCTCGCCTTTGTCCCTGCAGTGTGTTGGAGTGCCAAGGACTGCCAATCGTCAACGGGCAGTGTGACCCATACGCGGCCGTGTCCCTGCTGGGGCCCACCAGGTCAGGGTCAGCTCGTGTCAGTCTGCCACCACCCCCTGGAAGCCTCATTGGGCTGTGAGTCACATGACCTCCCCCTTCCTCTCCGTTTTCCAGGTCGGAGGCCAAGAAGACCAAAGTGAAGAGGAAGACGAACAACCCCCAGTTCGACGAGGTCTTCTACTTCGAGGTCAGCATTGACGGACATGCGTTTCTGCCCCAGGTCGCCCAGCCAGACGCTGTATTAAAAAAAAAAAATAAAAAATAGTGATCCGCCGTTGCTATGGCTCCCAAGTGAATGAGGTCATTTTCCATTGCTCGGAATCCCAGTGACCAGCGTCTGTCAGAGAGGTTCCCTTCCTGCTAAACCGATGGCGGTATGGATTCTGTGAGAAGAATAGAAGTTCTTAGGATTCCACCCCCACACCCCCCCCAAACTCGCAGACCTCGCCCTCCCCGAGAGAGGAAATGCAAGACAGGAGCTTGATTCATTCAGATGAACAGCCTGACAATCAACTCTCTTTATTTCTGTTACGCATCCAAGTGCCTTGGAGCTAAAGATGGCGTGAGTGAGTGAGAGAGAGAGAGAGAGAGAGAGAGCAAGAGTGTTACCCTCTGTCCCGCCCGGTGTCCCTTCCAAACGAGCCTCTTTCTGTGTGTAGTTGTGAGAGAGTAGCCCAAGCCGCTTTACAAAGTCACACGCAAACTGATTCTCGCTCTGTGTTTGTTCTGGCTGCTCGCTGTGGTTTGGAGAACTGTTTCATTCTTTCTGTGGTTATTGGGAGTGGTCTCCATCTTGCAGTCTGTGGTTATTGGGAGTGGTCTCCATCTTGCAGTCTGAGCTTCCGTCCCAAGTCACTCGTTGCCTTTTGGCCCATTGAACCGAAACCCATGTGCAGGTTTGTGTGCAGGCATCTGTGTCTGCGTGTGAGCGTGTGAGCGTGTGAGCGTGTGCGCGTGTGCGCGTGTGAGCGTGTGTGCCGAGAAGGGGAGGGCCACAAAGCGTGTGGATTGAGGAGCGTTTAGACCTTTGGGACGTCTCCCCTCCCCCCGCTGGAGATTTGGCCGTCCATTCTGCTACATGGCCATTTCCACTGACTAAAAGGCAGGGTGACCACGCGACGTGTCCTTGCTGTGCTGACCTGGTGCCCAGGTCACCTGACCACAGGTTTAACCTGCAGGTGACGAGGCCACCCAGCTACACTAGACGGCACTTTGACGTGGAGGAAGAGGATGTGGACAAGATGGCTGTCAGGTGTGTACTGCGCCGCGCCATGGGAACCGTAGCCCCCTATGTGTGTCAGCGTGAAAGAGGGGTTGCACAAGCTGTGTGAACTTGTGTAGTGTCTGCGTTTCTGTGTGTGTGTGGGGGTTTGTATCTGTGTGTGTGTGTGTGTGTGTGGGGGGGGGTTTGTATCTGTGTTTGTGTGTGTGTGTGGGTTTGTATCTGTGTTTGTGTATGTGTGGATTAGGTTTATATTACATTGTGGGGACCATATATCCCCCACAATGTGATAAAAACCTGCTATTTTGACATTGTGGGAACCATTTTTGAGGTTCCCACAATGGTCTGTTAATGCAATCAAAAAACTAAAAACCTCAAAAGTCTGGTATTTAATTTGGTTACTTATGGTTAAGGTTAGGGCTGGGTAGGGCTTTAGGCCGTCAAGTTGGGATTAGAGTTTTCCCCATAGAAACGAATGGAGAGTCCCCACAAAGATATAATTACAAACCTGTGTGTGTGTGTGTGTGTGTGTGTGTGTGTCATCACAGGGTGGACCTGTGGAACGCCAGCAACTTGAAGTTCGGTGATGAGTTCCTGGGGGAGGTTCGCATCCCGCTGAAAGTCCTGGGCCAGTCAGGTCTTCACGATGCATGGTGAGAGCGCGTCAGCTGCCGGGTGGGGTGGGGGTGCTGCGCTCCGCGGAGGGGAGGCGCCCCCCTCATTTTACGCGTCACGCACCCCGTCTGCCCCGTAGGTACTTCCTGCAGCCCCGGGACAACGGCAGCAAGTCAGAGAAGCCGGACGACCTGGGCTCGCTGCGGCTCAACATTGTTTATACGGAGGACCACGTCTTCCCCTCGGAGTCCTACAGCCCCCTCAGAGACCTGCTCCTGCTCTCTGGCCAAATGGAGGTGTGTGTGTGTGTGTGTTTGTTTGTTTGTGTGGTACTTGATTCATCACCTTGGGGAAATTCGGTCATTTTTTTTGCGTATGAGCTGGTGTAGGACTCTGTGCCTCTGATCAGAAGGTCATCCATTCAAATCCCAGGGTCGCCCGAGCGATTTCACTGCTGGGCCCTTGAGCGAGGCCATTAACCCTCAGTTAATACAGGGACTGGCTGACCCTGCTCTGTCAAAAAGGAACATCGCTTTGGATAAAAGCATCTGCTAAGTAAATAAATGTAAATGCTTAATCCACCTTGATCTCCATGAGAGACTTAGACATGTTCAGGTGGGAGCAAGTTTCGGGGATGTAGCGCCGGAACAGTCAACGTCCTGCGGCCCCTGCAGCAGTTGGGGTTAAGGACCTTGACTGAGGATCCAACGGTGGCGCGATTCCTCTGCCAGCCGTGGCATTTAAACCTTCCGGAAATGGGCACAGACCCCTAACCCACCGCACACCACAAGTGTTCGGCGGAGACGTTCGTTCTGCACCTGAGTCTGGATATCCGTGGCAGCAGCGACGTTAGCACCCCCGCATCTCACATATCCCCTGCCTCTGTCGCCCCCCCCGAAGCCTGTGTCAGCGTCTGCAGCTCACATCCTGGGTGAGGTTTGCCGGGAGAAGCAAGAAGCCGCCATTCCCCTGGTCCGCCTCTTCTTGCACTATGGGAAAATCGTGCCTTTCCTGAGCGCCATCGCCAATGCGGAGGTCAACAGGACACAGTGAGCATCTTCATGCTTGCCTAGACATGCACGCACACTCAGAGCCCTCACAGACATGGAGGAACATCCATGACCATTGACAAACACCTTCACTCTGCACTGTTGAGTTTCCCCTTAATTTGGGGTCCTGTACGGGCATCGGTCAAAGACACGTCACACGAAGAGACCTCATCTTCCTCTGCAGGGATCCCAACACCATTTTCCGGGGGAACTCGCTGACCTCCAAGTGCATAGACGAAACCATGAAACTGGCCGGCATGCACTACCTGCAGGTGACCCTGAAGCCCGTCATCGATGAGGTGAGCGTGCTCTTCCTGTGGCGAATATCTGTCACAACCGTCACATAACGAAGGTGCTCTGGCGGCTCAGTGGATAACACTATCGCCGCACATCTATCACCATGGGGGTGTGAATCTCACCCTCACCTCTTGGTGTGGGGTTTGCTTGTGTCAGGAGATGGATGGGAAAACAAAACAGGTGGTAGGAAGGTCTAAGTATACAGAATTAAGTTAAGTATGAACTCCAGCTGTACGAATGGGAGACAGGCTTGAGTAGCTTTTAATGGAAGCATCTGTTACATGAAACTGTATTAATTACAGGACTGTGGCTTACAACCACAGCAGGGTATTGCTCACATTTGAGGCTGAGTCACTTGGTAGGCCTACGAGATATCACCAGGTATTAAAATAAACATTTCACTTCACTCTCTAATTTACACTGCTTGGTTTTCAGTCCATATGTCTCCTAAATTACTAAGTGGCTTTATTTTTTTCTCTCATTACTCGGCATGTTTGGCGGTTGGGGGGGGGGGGGGGGGGTTGCAGTTTTGCCACAGCTTTCAACGGATGTCTATACTCTGTGCAGATATGCGCCGACCACAAGCCCTGCGAGATCGACCCGGTGAAGCTGAAGGAATCTGAGAACCTGGAGACCAACAGGGTGGGTTTCAGCGAGCGCCATGTGGCTGGGCGCACATATGCAAATCAATCCGCGAGCATGCATGGGCCCGGCATGTGCATGCACGCGCGCGGTGGGGGGGGTACATGCGTCTTGTGGTCACCTGATGCGTTGACGTCTGACCCCAGGAGAACTTGCGTCAGTACGTGGACCGCGTCTTCACCGTCATCACCAAGTCTGGGGTCAGCTGTCCCACAGTCATGTGTGACATCTTCTCCTCCTTGAGGGAGTCGGCAGCCAAACGTTTCCAAGGTAAGCAGCCCCACCCCTCAGATGTAGCGGAGTCGGCTAACGAGCTTCTCCGGACCGAGCGAGGCCTTGGGGGGGCTTCCAAGCTGGGGGGGGGGCGGGGTGGGGGGGGGAGGGGGCGTGCATTGGAGTCAAACTAGCTGTTTCAGAGCTCCAAGCCAGAAGGAAATCTCAAATCTTAAAGCACCAAAGCCAACAACCCAGTAGGATTCAAAGTGTTAATGCCCTTCTTACAAAGAAAATCTTGTCTCCGTAACCGAGATATAAAGAACGATGACTAGAACAGGCAGAATGAGTATTAGTAGCTCCAAAACACTTAAGTGCAGTTTGAATCCTGTTGATGTTACTTTCTTCCATGGTAGGCAACATAGGCAAACAATGAGTGTGCTGCGCCACCTGCTGGACAGCACGGCACATCGCATCGGCATTTCCTGACATTCTGTGAATCATTCAGTCACTGGCTTTCAAGCATGGATTTATTTATATATCATAGGCCCCCGGACTGCTTTAGTTGTATGTCAGTGCTGGCTTCTTTCTTAGTAGTGGTTTTTGTTGGACGCCGTGCGTGTGCTCATCACAGAAATGATGGCGTTTGTTTAGTTTTGAAGGGTTTCTGTTCCTTCACTGTTTGTTTCTGGAGTAGATACGTGTATTCCTGGAAAGTTTTAGGATATTTATGATGTGTTTTGTTTTTTTGTCGTAACGTGTAGCTGCAAACAGGAGGGATAATGTAAACGGTGGGAAAACAGACGGAGTTCTATTGGGCCCGTGGTGACAGCAGTTACAGCAGTGTTTGTGTTAGCTGAATGCTGTGACTATATACATATGCGTGGTAAAATGTACGGGTCATGTTTTAACGTCAGATTAAAAGTGAAGCTCGATCCATTTTGGGCCTCTTTAATCAATGTAGCGATTCCCTGCTGAGAGAGGCGAATATGGGGTTAGGGTTAAATGTGCAAGATCCCCTGAGCGGTTATGCTTGTGTCTCCTCAGAGGACCAGGATGTGAGGTACACTGCGGTCAGCAGCTTCATCTTCCTGCGCTTCTTCGCCCCGGCCATCCTGTCCCCCAACCTGTTCCAACTGCGGCCGCACCACCCGGTGAGCACGTGCCCCTCGAAGTCCGTCCCCCACCCCGCAAGTGCCCGTCTGCTAAATCCTTCCCCTTACATATGTGTGTTGGAATTAGCCTCCTTCTGAGGTTGGGTTAAGGGGAACCGCCCCACTGTTTGTCATAGGTTATGCCGTCATGCCTTCCTGTTGATCAGCGGTTAGCATGTACATCCGTTTCCCATATGATTACTGGTTTGGTGTCACCGCTCAGTTACCGCTCATAGTCATCGCATGTGGCGGTTGTGGTGACGGCTTCCTACAGGATGTGTGAATCAGGGATCATCTCTCTTCCACAGGATCCCTCTACCTCTCGAACCCTTACCCTGATCTCCAAGACCATACAGACCCTGGGGAGCCTTGCCAAGTCCAAGTCCGTGAGTCACTCCGCCGCTCACCCAGTGAGGTTCATCCTCCTTGAGAAAATGCACCTGGAGGGCAGGAGCTAGCAGATGTTAGGTTTGGCGGAATTGTAGTAATGCCTTATACCGCTGCATTTTGTGTCTACCACGGTATTTTGGGTATATCCTTGTGTCAAAATTAGCTGAGAATGGGGAGGTGGACCCCCATAATAAAAACTTCGTAATTTTACTGCCAATTTTTCGAAGATGCTGTCAAAATATCGTACACCACAGTATAATTTCCGGACGGTAGGACAGTATGAGGAATGAGATGCAGCCCAAGCCGAGCACCTGTCCCTGCCAGTGAAACGGAAACACATCTGCCTCGATCGAAAGGGAAGCTAATCGCTCTCTCACCCCCACAGGCCAACTTCAAAGAGTCCTTCATGGCAACATTTTACGACTACTTCAACGACCATAAATATTCAGATGCTGTGAAAAATGTGAGATCTGTTTCGTTTTTAATTTAACGTTATTCCGTTTGGGGATGTCCGTTACTGAGGGCCTGCTCTGGACAGACTCCCGCGTCTGAGTTAGCTGTAATTAGTGAAAAGGGCTCCCTGTTTAATAGGCTTTGTCTGGTGGAGCTCCCCCTAGTGTCCGATATAAACAATGTGATCTGTTTATACATGCCAGACGGGGCTGTTTGCAGTCTCTGCATTGAGGCGCTCTGCCACTGGGAGCTGTGTATACAGAAGGCTGGCTGATCTTTCTTTATATAGACTGTTCTCTCTCTCTGGTTGACATGCCTGGGTTAATCTGTACAGTATTCAAGTGTTGCATTCAGCAGTTCCTGTAAATATCAAGCACCATTCCTGGTTATGGGGAAACAGTGGTAGATGCAAGTTTTCCTTTTACTAAACTAAGCAAAGAAATATTCTTCCTAACTGAAGTAATTTAGGTTTTTATGAGTACTGAAGCTTCTCTGTGAAGCTTAAACAGATGGAAAATCTGTAGACGTCTGAAGAGAGATGGAAAGTCTTTAAATGAGTACTAAGGCTTATGTGTAGCCTGTAAGTGCTCCAGATGATCTGGTCTGGTACTGCATGGGTATATAACTGCCATTTTTCTCTGCTCAGTTCCTAGATCTGATCTCCTCGTCCGGGAGGTGGGACCAGAAAAGCATTGAGACGCCGATCATGCTGAAAGAGGGGTGAGGTTGCTGATGACCCCCACCATGAATCAGGGAATTCATTACAAGGGGACCAACAGAGTTTGAGCCATCTCACAATAAGTGGTCCCTGGGCACATAGCTCAATAAATGTGGGTTATAATTATGTCCCCTAACTGAAGTTTGAAAACCGCATCACCTGACCGAAAAGCAGCCCAGAAAAGGAATCATTTACATGCGCAAAGGCCATGTGATGCTGCTTTCTATCCAAATGGAGGCATCGTTTAACAAACAGAGTGTTGTGACACAACAAAAAACACGCCAACCCTGGAGATTAATTTCCTCCTCTGCTGGAAAATCAGCTGGAGATCTTACATTTGAAAGGAGACATTGACCTCAGCTGTGGAATCTTCTATTGAGGGAATTGCTGGTCTAGGGAGACGACCTGCCATCGCCATCTTGTGTCAGAGAAGTGCGACTGCGGTCTTTGTGTCAAGTGGGAAACTTTCCTAGTGCCAGGATGGTGTTAGGATGGTATCGCTCTTCCTGGATTGTTGTCTTTCTTAGAGTAGACCAGAGTTGATCAGCTGCAATCCATCTGTCAGAGAGATGAGACTTATCAGTACACTTGAGACAGTTTATCTGTGCTTTGGAAAAGAGTACTCTCGCCACCTATGTTTCAGAGGGGTCTCACAATCTGTGAGATAAGTGAGGAGAACTGCTGAGGTTACCTCCATACTGCTACGTTTCTGTTTAAAAATGCAGACATCAGTCTTCGATTTCTCCTCATCCAAACAACCCTGAAGTTGTCAGCCCCCAAAAACAGACTTTCGTAAACACTCTCATATTTGAGCATTGCAGTGTGGATGAGTGAAAATGGAGACTTTTGAAAACGCGGACTCTAAAAGCGCCCTAATTGGTCCCTACTCATCACTTGGCCCATGTCGGATTCGATCCCCCTAGTTACACCCTCTCATGGTCTGATTGGTCACCTGGTCACCTACACAGAAGTAAACCGTATTCCAACATGGCGAATATGAAGGAGCTGCTTTCAATGGGGCGTTCCCTGTTGCTGACCTGTATGCACCTAAATAGTGTGTTGTCACTGCTGCATTTTGCGCAAAAAAAACTAATTTACTGGTTGATGCATGCATATCCAGTGTAGTGCATATCCAGTGTAGTGCATATCCAGTGTAGTGCATATCCAGTGCAGTGCATATGCAGTATAGTGCATATCCAGTGTAGTGCATATCCAGTGTAGTGCATATCCAGTGTAGTGCATATGCAGTGTAGGCTAAAAGAGACGTCATATACGTTTTCCCTCATTTCATGGCTTGTTTCAATAAATGATGTGTGGATGGAGATTTTTTTTAAACTAAAATGTAGCAGTGTGGATGTAGCCTGAGTCTCCTGTCTTCTCTCCCATGCTGGGTGCAGGAGTGTGAGACTTGTCATTAAGAGACTTGATAGCAGAGGGTTTTCCAGGTAAGCGGCTGGCTCTGTGACCTTGTGACCCCAACTGTGACCTTGTGACCCCACTCCCTGCTTTCTTCCCCTAGTTTTTTGTAAGCAAGGTGTTAGAAAAGCTTTCTTTTTGTAGAATCTCTGTGGAATCTCTTAAAGAGTTTTCTTTCTTGCATGTCGAAATAAAACAGTGAGATCGCAGAGGACAGGCTGCACATCTGCCACATGTATTTGTGAAGAGTGTGAAGACGGCTAAGCTGAGTGTATCTGTTGGTTGGCTTTGTGCAGTAATGCTGCATGCTCGCAATTGGCTGATCCCAGTCTGAGTCACTGAGGCTGTCCAATAAATTTTTGGGGCTGCAGACCTGAGAGTTTCACACGATGTCACATGCTGTGGTCCCTGTTTGTTTAGTTTTTCCCCTCGACGGGGAGCAGGGCTAAGCTGCCAAATTTCCTTCATCCGCAGATTACCCCTGGGAGCTGTTGCTCTAACCCCCCCACACGACCCGTTCTCCTCTGAGCAGAGGCATTTGACTAGTTTGATCGATGGATCCTGACAACCTGGCACACAGTAAAGTAGGATTCAATGAAATGCATCTCCCAGCCTTGAATGCCTTTGTTCCCATGAACAAGTTTGCAAAGCCGCTCATTAAGTCAAAGTGTTTTGTCCTGGCGCACTAGTTTGTGCTTTAGAGAATAAGTTCAGCAAGTAGCAACACAAAAATGTTGCCTGCACTATTCACAGCGAGGAATTTCTCCTCTCAAATCTCTAGTTATACTTCTGGAGTGCAGTCCAGGGATTAAACTGTTGTGAAAAAAGTGCTATTGAAGTATGGTACTGCACAGCCCATCACTAGTGTGACAGAACGGACTTAAATTGCACCAAGCACTGCAAGCAGTGATCACAAACATAGGGTCACATTCAGCGCTGAAGATCACTACCAGATCTTTGCTGCTCCAGCTTAGGGATGATAACTCTGGAGCTTTTCCGTGCTGCTGTGACATCAGACTGGTTGCCAGATGTCCTCTGTGATTTCACTGCTTTAACAAATAGAATAGTTGTGCTTTATTCATCATTCTGGGGAAATTGGGTAGTTTTGATGCCAATATTGGTCTCCATGAGAGACACAGATACACATGTATATACAGGTGAGAGCAAACATTAGTATCAAAATGCACGGTCCAGCACGCCAGGGCAACTGGGGTTAAGGTCCCTACTGTGAGACTTGAACCCACAACGTTCCGGGCAGGGACACAGACCCCTAACCAGCTGAGGTGGTAAAGAGATAACATCCTGTCTCTCCTACCTTCACTCCTGCCAGATTCATGATCAAAAGAGCTCAGGGGAGGAATCGTTTTGGCATGAAGAACTTCAAGAAGAGATGGTTCCGTCTCACCAACCATGAGTTCACCTATCACAAAAGCAAAGGTAATGCTGAACATTTGTTGGTTCTTTTCTTCACCGCACGATTCTGTAAAACAGACACCAAAGCTGCTGTACATTATTGGGTTCATTGGGTCCCGAGATGGCACTTTGTGTTTGTGTGATCCGGTCCCATGGTACCTCGTGGCTCCAGTATAATTGAGTCCCAAGACGATGGCATGTGGCTGTTGTGTGATATGGCCCAAATTAGGGATGCATCCTGTGGTCCCAAGCTGAGCTTGTGCAGTGATTGCGTAATTTCTTGAGCTAATGGTGTTTGACACTTGCTGGGAAATGGGAAGAGTCGTGTTTAATGTGGATTAAACTCTCTGACCCATCTGCTGTTGGTGTGTCTGAGTGCCCCACTGTAAAAGATGTTACTGCCTCCTGTGTATTATGGGATGTCTGTAAGTTGTGTATGTCTTTATGTGGTCAATATGTAATGCGTATAACAGCTGTACTGTAATATGGAGGTCTTTAACCCATCTTGTAATGTAGGGTCTGTTTATCCTCTTATAACCCTTATTCTGTACTATGAAGTTCTTTAATACCTTGTGATTTGGTATAGGGGTGGCATGGTGGTGTGGTAGGGTGACCAGATAATCCATGTCAGGGAGAACACTCTGAGCTAGGACAGGAATTGTAATTTACCATTTCAATGAAAAGGACCTGGATTTCACTTGAGCACTGAGTTCTTGCTGTGTGCTGATTGGTCAGTCTCCTATAATCATACATGTGTCACTAATGTTAATGTGAAACAGCTGGATGCGTCTTTCAGTCAAGGAAACAAACCAGTCAAAGCACAAGAAGAGCTGAACTATTTATCCGAGAACTGGAGCCTTTCAATTTGAAATTAGTTTGTAAAACCCGAAGTAGCTCAAAGTGTCCTCCCTGACATGGATTATCTGGTCACCCTATGGTGTGGTGGTTAGCTTCATGGATCAAGTGTGGAGTTTACATGTTCTCCCCATGTCATTGTGGGGTTTCCTCCGGTTTCCCCCACAATCCAAAAACATGCTGAGGTTAATTGGAGTTAAATTGCCCGCAGGTGAGTGAATGGTGTGTGAGTGTGCCCTGTGATATGTTGGCACCCCACCCTGGGTTGTTCCCTGCCCTGCGCCCGTAGCCCTGAGATAGGCTCTGGATCTCCTGTGACCCCGAATAGGACATGCCGTTACAGAAAATGGATGGATGGATTTGGTATCCAGCCTAACCCCCATTCTGAAGTACAATTTGTATGTAATGCAGAATGATGTGTCTTAATGGTGTGCTGTAAGGGTCTGCACCTATGTACTGTATTTGGGTGTGTCTTTTAGCTATAAGCTTTCTGCATCTCTAAATCCTGTGATCTATGACTCCCCCTCATGGTCCTTCAGGAGAGAGTCCACTGTGCAGTATTCCCATCGAGAACATCCTGGCAGTTGAGCGATTAGAAGAGGAGTCCTTCAAGATGAAAAATGTAAGAGGCTGCTTTCTGTGCACAAAGAGCAAAAGAAACACATGACAGAAATGCCATAAAGTGATTCTTCAATATGAGCTTTTATTAATAAATGTTGTTCCCTGCACCTAAAGTCTACTGTAATCTTTAGTTTAGCATGGGGCTTGACCTCTGTGTTCTCTGTTGAATGTTGACAGATGTTCCAGGTCATCCAGCCTGAGAGGGCGCTCTACATCCAAGCCAACAACTGCGTGGAGGCGCGCGATTGGATCGACATCCTAACGAAAGTCAGCCAGTGCAACCGGAAGCGGCTGAGTACTTACCACCCGTCGGCATACCTCAATGGACACTGGCTGTGCTGCAAGCACTCAGCTGACTCCGCCCCCGGCTGCACCCCCTGCACAGCGTGAGTTTTATGCATCTCCAAGACATCTGCCCTCTACTGGGTGGCCAAGGGAGAGAGCTTTGTGGAGTTTCCAGCACAGCACCATGTGATCTAAATGTTACGTCTCTTTTTTTTTCTGCCCTTTGTATCCTTGACAGTGGTCTTCCCGCAAACATCCAGCTGGATGTCGATGGAGACCGTGAGACAGAACGCATCTATTCACTCTTCAGCACGTACATAGCCAAGCTGATCAAGATGCAAGGTGACGCTTACGTGTGTGTGTGTGTTCATGCCCTTGCTGTGAAAGTGTATGTGACATGCATCAGCTCATAGTATCACCTTCCTTGCTGACCGCCCCCCCCCCCCCCGCCCAACAGAGGCGTGCGGCAGCAAGTCCGTGTATGACGGGCCGGAGCAGGAGGAGTACTCCAGCTTCATCATCGACGACCCCCAGGAGACGTACAAAACACTGAAGAGCATCATCACTGCAGTGCAGGCCCTGGAGCAAGAGCACGCTCAGTACAAAAGGGACAAGTTCAGAAAGACCAAGTATGGCAGCCAGTAAGTCCCAAGCTAATTTCAGATCAAGCTGGCTATCAACAGCACCACCTGTTCACTTACCTGGTATGATTAAAGCTTAGCATCAGTTAGACTTTGACAATTATTTGAGGAACTTTGAGACCTTATTTAACTGTGATTTTTCAGTCCATCGGTGTTAAATCCCTTGTAGTATCAAAGATGAATGCCGGTATACATAACATGACAGTAGTGCTTGCTGCCATCTGACATGTGCCTGTACAACTCCCTCAAACTCAGTTTCCCATAATGCATTGTTAAGTACGGTGGCTCGCCGAGCTCAGAATACACAACAATACACAACAAATAAATTTTGGTGGCGAGTTATTGGTAAATTGTGAGTGGTCTTTTTGGTCATTTTTATTATTATTCATTATTATTTTGTTCAAACCCTTTCCACAGGGAACATCCAATTGGAGACCAGAACTTCCAGTGCTACATTCGGCAGCAGTCGGAATGCTCCACCTACTCCATCTGACCGCAACCAGCGGTTGCCATGGTGCTCTGAGCGCTGGCTGACTTGGTGTTCCACCTCCCACGAGAGAGAGAGACAGACAGAGAGAGGCGCCCCGCAAGGGTCCTGAAAACGGAACCTGCGCGTATGAGGACATGGGATTATCCTGTGTAGAAGTGTAGCGTGAAGATTAAGGGTCAAGCTAATTCCAGTATTTTCTATGAAATACTAAACTAAAGGACAGCTCTTCACCACACGGTGTGACCAAAGCGATGCACTTTAATCATCCCGAACTGATGGATGATGCAGCTCTGCCTTACGGCACATTTTAAATTTTTATTCTGTGAGATCCTTTTGTTTTTAATCCGTTCTGCGGATCGGTTCATTGGCCGTTTTAAAAAGCTCTTAAAAAGCATATTTAGTGTTAACCTATCCACTGAATTTCAAGGCCGAACTCTGCGTCCCCAGAAACCACATACTGCTCATCAGGTGTTATAGACGAGTGTTGTTGCTGTGTGTGTGTGTGTGTTCATCTCAGCAAGGGTTAAATGCAAATTCCCGTGTGTGCACACCTACCTTTCACTGCACGATACGACTCTTTTCTTCAGTGTGTTGGTGAGATCCAGTTAAAACATTTTTTTAATCAATGCATTTTTATTAACCAGAATCACATACAAATTGTACCCTAATTTTAGCAGAAAGTCTTTGTTCATTTAAAAGCATTTTCTGGGTCAAAAGTCATAATAACCATTGTGATCATCCTTCTGCCAGTTCCTACTCTGAAATGGTATTTTCTTCAATCCAGGGGCGATTAAGAGCTGCATAGTCAAATTAGGAAATTAGGAAATTAGGAAATTAACCTCCATGAGTGTTTGCAGCAATATCCCGAGTATTTAAAAAAAAAAAAAAAAAGAAAAGATATTTTCAGATACTGTAGTTTTCTATGTCATTGTTTGTACACTCAAATTGGAAGTCTGTGCAGTGGGGTTTTAAAAATTCAGAATGTTAGACCATTATGGATATAATTTTACTTAATGTCAAGGCTTTTTTTAATATTGTGTGGAAATCTCTTAAACATAATGTCTGTCAAGCTTTGTGTTTACTGTGGAATGTTGTTCAGTGATAGAGGTGTCAGATACCGGTCAAAGAAGCATGATTTTTGTCTGTATGTTTATGGTTTTAGGTGCCTGAGCAGGACAGTGTGTGCGCGCACCCACGAACTGGCGAGCGAGAGTGCGCGCGTCATCGTGTGTGCGCTTTTTGTTCATATATATACATTTCTAAGGAAGAAAGGTTTTGGTTGGGCGGTTGTTTTTTTCCCCCTGAGGTGACACTGCGAGCCAGAAGTTACAGGCTTGCCGGTAACTTGGCTGGCAGGGTAGCACAGCGATGGAGCGGCTCACCGGCGTAGTGGGAACGTGTGGTCCTGCGCCCATGGGAGCGCCATTCCGCTCCGCACGTAACAGGCTCGCATCACCGTGGCAGCAGTGTTACGAAAGCTGCGCTTAATTTTCAAGATTGACTACGGAGTACCTCTGCCGTTTTTCTTTTGAGGATTTTAGGAAGGTTTGGTTTGAATAATGGACGTTGCTCAATAGTGTGCTCTCAGAATATTTTAGTATTTCTCTCACTAAAGGTAAAAAGTTTTAAAGGTCTGGCACTATCCATAAACAGCAATCAAAAAAATGTCAGGCATGACAATTGTGATTACAATTAAAACAATACATCAGTCACCCAATCGATATCTCTTAAATTCCTCAAAAGAAAAACAACAGGACAAACTATGTATTTTTATACGGATATATGAAAGTAAATGTACAGAAATAAGGTTGATAGAAACCACTCCCTTTGGTTAAATGAAGGTATTAATAATATTTTGCTGTCTCAGCTTTTCCCCCTTCTTCACTTACATATATTTGGTGGGTGGGGGGGGGCACGATATGTTTCATTGGAGGTTACAGGCAAAAACAACCCATTTTAACGAAGACGCATACTACAACTTAAGACAACAGCGCCACCTCTGATCAACTTTCGTCCTACATGAGTATTTTCATTAAAAAAAAACATGTATGGGGCTATTTCAAATACGTATATTTATATTCACACAACTTGCTCGTAGCTTGGTGTTATAACTGAATGATATTGGGGGATCCATTCTTCTGCCAAGAAAACAACAAAAGAAATACGATAGAGCTTAAAAAGACGATAAGCGGTTGGAATGGATGGCGTCCAAGATTCTTAAAAACAATTTTGTAGCACTCAAAGAAAAGGCGTTCATGAAAATACAGCTGATTCATTAATTCACGTATTGTTTATTAGCAGCTTTCCATTGTTTGTGCTAAACAGGTTTAGCAAGTCACACGTCTAATTAAACCCTAAAATCATATCACGCCTTTAAAGCATTTTGTTTGGAGACCACGGCAAACAAAACGCTGAAGAACTGATAACATATTCGTTTAACGACTGAAGAGAGGTCAGTTCGAGGAGGATTAAGTTTTTGGAGGGGGGGGTTGCCTTAGTTTAAATAATGAAAGCATCTGGCAGCGTTTGAGAAGACCCGAGTACTTCTGGTCAGCGGAGCGCTCGATCTGGAGAGACCCCACGTCGCTTTCCTGACGCCATCCGTGTCCTGTTTACGGCCCCGGACGGAGGGGGGCAAAAAAGAAAAATCAAGAGGAAATATTCAGTTTCAGGATTTGGTTTCAGAAAGCCGCGCTAGCGCAGTTTGGAAGGAGACTCTTTACAATGTGGAGAAGGAGATCGGCGGTAGGGGTGTCTGTCGGTTGCCTCATCCTTCTGGCCGCCGTATGCGATGCACATAGATGTGAGTAGATGATGGGGGGGCGAGTCATAAGAGGAGCTGTTTTTGTGCTCCGGGTTTCGTGCACCCACCCGGATGGGAGGGGGCGTTCAGCGGTGTAAAGTTTAAACGTTGTTTCCGATTAAGTTTATGATGTGTTAACTTTTGTCAGTCTGCGGTAGTAAACTTAAAACCGAAAAGGGATCGCACAACATAATCTTTCAGTTTGTCCAAATGAAAGTCGATGCGCAGAGTTTGACTTTACCTCGGTACACGCCAATTAAAGTTTTCAAAAAATAGCATGTTTTGTGTAATGTAGTGTTTTGTTTATTACTACCCATTCAGTTTCTCCTGTAGGGCAGGCATTAGACACATGGGATACTAAAACCTACCAAACACAACAGGGGCCGTAGAACATGGTTAATAAGGGTACACCATAATAAAATTAGCTGCCCACCAAATATAATTTTAACGTAATTGCAGAGACAACGTAATGTAAGACTGCAACACTGATTACAGTTGTACACCATGTGTCGAGCCACGTGGTTCTGGGTGCTCTGCGTGTATACCCAAGGCTGTTTTGGAGTGTTCACTATATCCTGATTAACAAAAATGGAAACATTACTTTTGGGATGAATTACATTCAGTTCCTACATTTGTCTGACATGGCTTGCATTCAAGTAGTATTGAGAAAACATTACAATAATTGTAAAATTATATAGTAGTATCTTCATTGAATATTTCAGTCCCAAACTTATGGCTAGATGAGTCGAGGTCTCCAAATTACCCATAGTGTGAGCTGCAGTAGGCAGGTAAGGTCCAGAATCACTGCAATTCCTAGTTATGGACGATGGATGGGTGGATTGATGTTACTCAGTCTTGTCACACAAAGCAGTCAAGTGAAATTGTATCTCTAAATTGCAAACGGTGTTTGTGTGCACACACCCTGTAATACACTGGTATCTTGTGCTAGACAAGCAGTAATGGATGGTGGATTAATAGCCATAATGATGACGGCATCAAAATCAAATTTTAAGTGTGAGGGGTGAGCGAATAACTCTAGCCAGCTATGAGCCTGGTGTAGGTGTTACCTGGCCTGTCCTCTTCCTCTGGTAAGCAAACCAATATTAGGCAAATTGTGTACGCACCATAGTGTACGCACCATAGTGTACGCACCATAGTGTACGCACCATAGTGTAAGCACCATAATGTACGCACCATAATGTACTCACTATAGTGTACGCACCATAGTGTAAGCACCATAGTGTACGCACCATAATGTACGCACCATAGTGTACGCACCAGCGTTCGCGGCACCACCACTAATACGTCACCCTCTAGTGCACAAAGTCTACATTAAGGAGCCTCACTGGTACAGCCTCTGCTTGAGCCACATTAGCATGTTAGCATGACTGGCGCGCTGACTTCCACTCGCAGTCCTGACGCGGAGCGCGGCCTCGCAGTTCCTGGCCCGCCGTCGCCGGGCGAACACTCTCTTTGAGGAAAGCAAGAAGGGGAACCTGGAGAGGGAGTGCATCGAGGAGCTGTGCAACAAGGAGGAGGCCCGCGAGATCTTCGAGAATCAGCCGGAGACGGTGCGTTTCTGTAGCAATCCCGTCCGTTCCCGAGCCGTCTCAACTCTGGGCATGAGGTTCCAAGAAATAACTTTTATGGGGGCGCCGTGTCTGGCAGTAGGCATAGACAGCTCTAGATGGATGAGAGGATGGATGAGAGGAGATAAATGTAGATCAGCTTGGTCTCCGTGAACTGACGTCTGGGCATGTAGTACCAGGACAAACCATTCCTCAGCACTTCACTGTCTCCTGATGGATGAGAATGAATGGCTTGTCAATTTTCTTGATGTTCCGATTTCTTTTCACTCTGCCATCAAAGGGACTCTCATTCCAGCAGGAGAAGCCAGAGACATTACCATCCTGAAAGATCACCAATATTCCTTGGTCTGCAGTTACTTCCTGAATTATTCTAGTCCAGTATATCAGGTGCCAAACAAGGCTTTAGCCATAGAGTCAACATCGGGGGAGATCATGAATATAATAATAATATATATTGGGGGGGACATTGTGAGCACATTTGAATAATGGGGGGGGCTTGTCCTGAATGGTTGTAGTTCAGTATAACAGGGGCTAAAGGTGATCTGTAGATCCTGATTTTATAAAGTTATATATTATAAAATCATGGCCCACAGATTACCTTTGGCACCTGATATAATGGACTATAACCATTCAGGAAGAAACTGCAGACCAAGGAATATTGATAGTCTTTCACAACAGTGATCTGCCAAAGCTAAAGGTGATCTGTGGACCCTAATTATATAATACACTATTTTATAAAATCAGGATCCACAGATCACATTTGGCACCTGACACACTGCATATATTAAATTCTCACAGTTCCAAGGGCACTTGTCTTAATTGTCTAAAAACTCGCCTAGGAAAGCAAATTCTATTTCCATAATTCAGGTCTGAACTGACATTTTGTTTTGCAAAATGATGACATGCATTTCTCGCACTGATTATCTTTAATTCTATGTTCATGTCATTGTGGTCATGAGTGAATTTCAAGCACTTATTGAGTGCGTATGTTTTTTTTTTTTTTGTGTGTGTGTGTGAATAAGCAATATCAAGTTACTGGTTGATTTATTCACTCCATTGACTTGTCTGCTGCAGTTTACTTTTTATGCCAATGTATTTACTGTGTATGATTAAATGTCTGGAGTTAGATGGAAATCTTGGTTAAGTGTTGGTTAAGAATGTTTGTGTGCGTGTCAAGCAAAACATACCAGCACGTAGCACGAATGACCTGTAACTGGCCCCAAACAGTCTTGTTTAGCGACCTCTGTAAAATATTTACTTCTCCTTCTTATCAAATACATTTGTTTTTCTCCAAAATTGACACGGGGCTTATTTTTGTTGCTCATAATGTTGTACAGGAAAGGAAAATAGTTTCATACTGACTTGTCTTTTTAAACATGAACTGAAACTCATCCTATTTTTTTTTGTTTCTCTTTGGTTTACAGGAATACTTTTATCCTAAATATATTGGTAAGTCATATAAATTTTTTTTATAGCATCCAAATCAACTTACACAGCCAAAAACTAACATCAGTAATAAAAATATCTGGTATAGTTTTTAGAATATTCCAAAAATCACTAATATAATTGTTATATTTGATTCAGGTAAAGTACTTTCTTTAAAAGTTCCAATAGTTGGCCAAGAGTTTGTACCAGCAAGCTTTAGCTAATCTACATCATTTTACACGGCACTGCCTGCTCCTTTATGGTCAGTCCCCAAAGTGTCTGGTCGTTCACTGTTTGGGAACGATCACGTGACACGATGGGACATGTGCAAGCATGAGTCCCCAGCTCTGGAGCCGACGGGCGTGCCAAGCGTTGGTGTGTTTTCATCCCAGTAGGCCGCATCGTGTTTCCAGGGCTTGCCCTGCTTTGATGCAAGGCCTAGTAGGACAGCGATGATGGTTCTCTGTTCCAGAAGCACTAACAAACCGTCTGCAGAGCAGTATTGCGACACTACTAGTTACACAAGACAGAACAACTGCAAAACTCAACCCAATAATACAGCAGCTACCATCCCACTTACGGGAAGATTACATAACATAGTGTTGTGAAATCTTTAAGCAGCTCCTACCTTTTTTTTAAGGGGACTGAGGGGATTTTTTTCTGGAGTTCATCAGGTAGCATTTATATGTGGTAATGGAAGAATGAATTCGATGTCTATTTCAGCATGTTTGGGACAGTTCCGTGTTGGTGTGGACAATGCCCCCACTGGGCATGACGGAATCCAAGACCTACGCGCTTGTGTGACTGGTGGGTGTGTGAGTAACATCCTCAGGCGACCCCCCCCCCCACCACCACCACCACCACCTTCTGTGTTCATCAATGTCTTTCTGTGCATTGCTTTTGGGTTTCTATGTATTGTGTTTGTTATTATTTATTGAGACAGTTGGTATTTTGGATGTGTGCATATTCGCCCGCTGCGCCTCTCGTAGGGATCAGCAACCAGTGCATCCCGTTGCCCTGCTACCAGGAAGGATAT